AAATGTTCGGACAACAACTTATACCGCGTGAATCCTGTTTTTGCGTTCATTGAGCCGGGCCAAGTACTGAATTTTGACGTTGTGCGACAAAACGGCGGTGCAAAGGCTGATAAAATGGTTTTCGTTTGGTCTAAGGTGGGTGTGGTTCTATTTCAAAGACTGAAGTGAGTATCTGGTAGCCATGCGAATTCGACAAGGTGAAGAGCCCAGAAATCCTGAGGTGAAGATGCTCGAAATATGGTGGCCTGAAGGCGACGGTGATGAGCTGCTGCAGGACGTGACAGATGTAGCCTTTTTTCTCCATTTTCAGAGTCACAATTGCCGGGCAATAATTTTCAGGCAAGCAGTACTGACCACAATCCTCAGCTGCTATTCAATGACGTGTCGTCATACGCGATGACCGTGCTACCACTCATTGTAAACGCCCCAGCGGACTAGTGATCACTTATCACTGTGCAGCAAAATGTCATGTGATCATTTTTTTTTTCTAGCATTGAACTGAAAAATCTCGGCTTTTTCGTGATGTGAGGTTTTTGATCCCATAAAGGTGTGCCCCCACTCTCTTCTGTTGACAGATGCTCCTGGTCATTTGACTAGGACATATTTATGGTCTTCAAAGTGTGAGATGGATAAACAAAATAAGAAAATGGATAAACACGCTTTTCCGACTGTTTTTGCGGAAGATAGCAAAGTATGAAAATAAGAAAGTAACATTTCCATACGTGGTGTTCAATAAGCCGCTTTCTTGCTGCTTCACCTACACTGCCATCCTAAAAAAAGTGGAAGAGTTGTCTGGTGCTCTAAATTATATTTGGTCTTTCCAATATCAATCGCAGATTTTTATAACTGAAGTGATAACCACTGAACAAAACTGTCCGTTTTTTATTATTTGTAAGAAACACTAAAAGTGTTTTTGACCTGCGTTTGCTGCCGATGATTTAAAAAAATTCCATCTGTCAAGAGTAGTCTTTTCATTGAACACTAAGTAGAAGTATAACCTCTGACCTTCTTTCTTCCCACACGTGGAATGAAAGGGATCCTAGAGGGTCTATTTTTATAAACATATGCTATATTTTTATTCACTTATTCACCTAATTTATAAGGTGAGCGCACACATATGTGAACTTTCCAATAATGCATTTTTGACAGATATGTTTTCGTATAAAAAGAGGAAAACTCAGCTTGCAGAACCAAACGAGAGTTAGAAGCGTGAAGACTTTTTCAAATTTCCCACTTAAAATTTGGCCTTCGCTATGGCTAATCGCCCTCATATTCTTTTTTTTTCTGTTCTTCAGATGAAAAAGAAGAGAATAATGCATTTGAAGTAGTAAGCACCATCCTTTCCATTATTATCAGGTTTCAATTTGCCGTGCAGAATGCCGGTGTAAATTTTGCAGATTTATTGCTGCAAATGATAACAACACTTTTAGAGGACTTGGAGGCGTTTTGGGGAATAGCTAATTTAATGGATTTTCCAATTTTATCATGAAATTTTGAGAAAAGGGGTTAGGTTTCTGGTATTAAAAATCGCACTTTAATGACTCCAGACACGAACAAAGGATGAATTTTCGCAAAAGCTAAGCTTTACTGCACCTTTCTTTTCCAATCTTTTGCATCTGGGAACCTACTACTGAGAAATAAGGAAACGCGGACAGCACCAGTTCAGCCTTGCCTCTTTACAATCACACATGAAATTTGGCAGATCATAGCCGATGAAAAAACCGCTGAGGAAACATCGATAGTCGAGAGGAGCTTTTTTGAAAAATCTGCATAATACTGGTGTCATTTGTTGATGTTATTTTCCAAGTTCCACTGAATGCAAACTCACGCAGGCGCACACCATATAAATGGCCTGAAATGCATTTCCAGAACATTCTTCTACTGTGTCTGCTTGTGAGATAGCTTGAAGCAGTCCGGCACCGCTTGTTGTACCGGAAGAATATTGAAGATGCTCGGAGCGGTAGTACATATCATCTTCAACTTCCTTCTGCCGCTTGCTGTTTTCGTTGCAACGGTGTCCGTCTGCGGATCCGGACGACCAAAACACGAAGTAATCACTGACACACAGTAAGACAAAAAGCAGTGAAAGTGTTCCCTTGTTCTGTTTATATGGCACACTTGCTGAAATGACTGTTTACCTTATTTGACCTCAGCAACTTAAAACAGGCCTCCTTCGCATTTCACTGGAAGAGGCAGGGAGGGCGCCTTTCCCTCAAAACACGATAAAAGGGCCAGCAGGATCTTGGCAGACATGTTCGAATCATGGCAGCAGTGTTCTGCTGATCACAAAGCATCAACAACCTGCCGATGCACTGTCCTACAAGCAGCTCTCGGATTCTGCTCACTACGCCAACCACCTGCAGAAGTTCAATTTCATAGCACATTGCAAATTTGATTTAAAAAAAAAAGAATTTTATACTGATAAGCGGAATCGATGCACACAGTGAAGAAGGTTGTCGATGAACGAAAGCATCGTACAGTTTCTAAAGATGCAGCTTTTTGCTTCTCCTTTCGTGATTCACACAAAACATACGCGGCAGATAGACTAGAAATCATCACCCAAAGCGTAAAAACTCTCTAAATTTTGTTTCCGGTGTTCTTCAATTTTTTCATCCAAATAACCCTCAGACTTTATTTTTTGTTGCTTTTTCTGTTCTGAGCTTATTTACCTGAATTAATATGCTTAAAGATCAAAAATCAAAGTTTTGAGTTTTGGAGCTAGATATATATGAAATATAAAGTGGGATTTAAACCCATGAAATTACAGAAGACTGGGCACCCAGTCCATAAAACTCAAGCCGTCCAAATTATGCATTTCCGACAGAAATTATTCATACACTCAAATAATCTTATCAAATTTAATTATTTCCTTTACTAACTATTAAAAACACATTGAAAATTGAAATATTTGCCTTCTCCTAAGTTTTTTTCGAAAAAAATTTTTTTGCTTTCATCGATTAAGATAAAGTATGAAAAAAATAAATTCAATTTGATTTTATGTTCATTTACTCATGTCTATAAGTGTGTGTGTGTGTGTGTGTGCTTTTTTTTGAACTGGAAAGTTATCACTGAATCTGAAATACTAAGAGGACTCGGCATCCCTAGATTTTCACTTTCGTTATCTAAATACCTCATGGATTTCTTTAACGGTACCTAATTCAACTCTAAAGAAACCTAGAAATTTTTGGAAGTCAGAATTGTTAAATGAAAAAATTTTGGGAGGGACAGGCGTCGCAGTCTATGGTTTTAAAACGTCTCGGCAAGATAACTGGTAAATGCCAAATCCTCACTAGCAACAAAAAATTTCAGGCAAACAAAAAGAAATCTTCGAAATCAGAAGCTAAGAAGCGTGAACTTGGAAGCAAATCTAAATCAGCGAAACTATCGAAGACACAAAGATCACGCTCACTAAAATCGAGCAAGTTACAAAAAGATCAAAGCCAGCGTTCCACTGTATTTCATTTCTTTTTGTGTTTTTTTTTAAATTTAGATTGACACAATTCAAAAAATTGTCTACTGAAAGTATCACTTGCGAAGAAGTTGCAAAGCAAGTGCAACTGAGCAAAATCGCAGAGTACGCAAGAACATACTCATCAAAGTCCCAAAAACCATACAAAACGTCAGATCCCAGAACAACAACTTTTTCCTTACACTGCCATGTGCTCGGCTTTGATACACAAATTTTTTTTTGCAACAGGCGCTTGAAGTTAATAATATGGCATGCTGAGTGTGAGGTGATAGCACCGTGGTGAACTTTTGAGCAAAGCAAAAAATTATCAAGAATAAGTAAGTTATCCTTGTTGTCTAATACGAGTAGCCGCCGAGAATCGACGTTAGGATGTAATCAGGGCGCAAACCGGAGATACTGATTCGAAATGGCATCGTGAATAGTTATAGTTCGATTTGGGAATTTGCGTTCGAAGCAAACACGTCCAAAGTACGATTATAAAAGCTTGCGTCAGGATTGTGTCCCGGCCATTTCATTTAAGAAATAAAATACCATTGTCGGGAGTTGCTAATGCTAGAATTAGGCGTAAACAATTAGAAGCTTTTATGGATTTTTTCTTTATCTGCGACTGGTTTTGACGCCAACCTTTACAGCAAAGCGAAAGTGCTCGAGGTGCGACGGCAGCTGCAAAAACTAAGGTACAATGTCTCTTTCAGCTGATTTGTTATCTGTTCGTACTGAGGGTCTTCGTGCATTTTTATTTGCTTTATGCCTACACTTGAAAAGAGTTGTCAAGTTTTCAGGAGCACGAGAAAGGCAGGAAAACCCCAGGTAAGGAATAATCTCAGATAACGTTCTACCAATTTGAACTGTTTCTAAAAATGTTCCACCAGAGCAGTGATATAACAGCAGCTAGTCGAAATATCAGAATAATTCTCTAAAAAGAGTCAAGGAATCGAAAAAGAAATGTGCGAGGCAGTGCGGTCACCGATTACAGTGGTGCGCTGAGATCAGCTGTCTAGATGAGCAGTGTACGTTTACCTGAGCACTTTAATTAGGGCTGTTTAGAGGAGCGATACGATTTGAAGCTAGAACCGGTGGAGCTACGTTGGAGTACAAACGGTGGCTTACAGAAGGTGTTCCTTTCCAATCCGACCAATGTGCGTCGCGCCATCAAGGTCACTCACTTCACCAGTTTTTTCGATAATTTTAACTATTTTATTTTCCTCACACAGTTTGCGACAGTGGAAAAGCTAATGCCGAGGAAAAAGCGGAATGAGTAAGCTTGCTTGAAACGTTTGTTTACCATGTGCGTAGACGGCGTTCCATCAAAATCGGCTGCTAGCATTTCTGCAAGTCTCTAAGACGGCTACCGAACTATTTAATGTGAAAAATGGAAATGTATTTGAGTACGCTTGATTCAAATAAGAAATGCATTTGTACCTGTTCGTTTATGAGCTCCTTTAGCAGAGCTAAACCATTCCTGTGGAGGGGAAGAAAAAAAAAGAGGGACAGTTTACGCTCCTTTTATAATTTTTTCATCCGTCAAGCCCTTTTTTTTTTTTAAATGCCAAGTGTAACTCGCACCAAAATATTCGGAAACGATCTGCTGACCGCAAAAATGAAATTCAGGTGAAATGCTCTGATAATCATTTATACCGCGTGAATCCTGTCTATTCATTCATCGAACCAGGGCAGGTTCTTAGCGTTGACGTCGCACGTCAGAATGGCGGAGCTAAAGTGGATAAAATGATTTTCGTCACAGCTAAGGTATTTCGCTTTTTTGTCAGCAACACTTTTATTTTTGTTCTATCTGTTCGCTTGATTTACTATTTTAGGCCAATAAGGGCGACCAGAATCCGCGTACGCTTTTCACCGAGGGTGCGTCAAAGCCGATGATGGTCTTACCGCTCATTGCCACATAATTCTAGTTATTTTAGAAGTGACATTTTTATTATTAAATTGTACGTTTTATTAAATGCTTTAATAAATTTTTCTCTATGTTCAAAAATAGCAATGTTCATTTACTTGACAACTCTATTTACCGCAAACCAATATTTCCTGGCAAAAATTACCCAGCAATTTACAGACAATTTTAGTTTTTCCGGAAGATTCCACATTAAACGTTTTTGAATTGCTAAATTGCATCAAAGAAAATATTGAATTTAGGACTATTTCAAAGTAAAAGAGTTTTTGACTTTTTCGCGAAAAGAACAGCCAGCAAAGAACGGTTCCACTGCTCCATAACACCGATGCCTACAGTTTGCTACCAGTGATTTGAGTGGTTTCTGAGGTTACTCTTGGTAGATCCCAGTTTTCTCAGTTGATAAACGGAGCGAACGATTTTTTTTTTGTAGACATAACTAAACCAGCTGCCACTGGAACATCGACAATTGCGCCCATTATAAGTTCCCGAGCCGGCGTGCTTTGCGGATTTAAGAACAGCTGCACAAACAAGCTGCGCTTGCACTAGCATCAATCGTTTCTCAACTTTACACGGATGTCTTCAGCGCTAGAACTGTTTATTATCTTAAACTTCAAATCAGCAATCCACACAGAGCTATTCAAGTAACGTTTTGAAATGGCGACTGAAAGTGCAAATTAAATTGTCCCAATGTCTTGTGCTTCCCTGGCACTGTTGGCGGTGGTGGGCACAGCATAATTTCACTCATTGTCCCCTCGTCTTTCAACTTTTGTCAATGAAGATTGATTCACATTTGTTCTTATTTCACCCGCATACAATACAATTAAATCACTATGAAAGTCGTAACCCAGCCCGCTATTTTAGGACTGTAAAAAAGAAACTGCAATAAAATAAGGAGGAAAAGGCAAAACACGTGTGTAATACTACTATAAAATTAAACTAGAACTGTGAGCTGTTTAATTTTCCGTAAGCACTCAGATACGAAGGCATGGCGAAAAACATTAAGCCAAAGCACACTGCGCTTTATACTTCTACCTCTGTTTTTGAAACTCAAATTTCTTTCATTTAACTTGCAAGTCTTCGTTTCTGGGTCTGACATGCGAGTGCATCTGAAATCGCCTTCGGAGTCTACAGTGCCAGAAGCGAATTTCGGAAATTAGCCAGGGCACTGCATTCTCCGTGTCTTATTTTTATTATTTTATTCAAAAGGAGTAAAATGTGGAGGAAAATTGTGGAGTAAAAAGCATTCACTGGATGTATCCTGCTAAGGCAATAAATGCAGTCAGTGTAGTGAACTCACTGTTGCCCATTTCAAAACACATTCAGCTAGCTGAGGGATCGCTTTGGGCGCAATTGTAACCAGTGCTTCCCTGCAATAGAATTTTAAAAGGGGAGCAACTGTGTTGCATCTTCTCCTCTGCGGCACTTGCCAGCAAAATATTTTTTTACGTAAGGCCATTCTTTCAGGAACACGTTTCGGCCTCTTTGCTGCATCAAAATTCGGTGCATTTAAAGGACGTCATAATCACGTAAGCTAAGTGTAAGAGAGAACAAAGCTCTTTAGTTAAAAAAAAAAAAAACATTTCGCCAAAAAACGCGTTACTTTGGCCAAGGGGATCTTTTTGGATAACAGGCAGTGAACTCAGAATGTCCGACAGAAGTGCTCGTTTTGATTTTTAAATCAAGAGTTGCTTGTGTATTTTCTGAGCTGAAACAGTCAACAAATTTTATGGTTAACTTTTGTGGTCAGCACGTCCAAGATCAGTTATATCCGATTATTTTTATTCAACCAATGTTTTTACTTATCTATGAAGTAAATTGGCAAAAATGCAAAGGAAAGTAAATTTGCGAAAAATATTTTCTAAACAAATTTCTGGACTGGCAAAAATCTCACGAGCAACAGATGTATTCATTGCTCACGGGATTTTTGTCATTCCAGAAATTAATTCAGAAAATATTTCAAACATTGGGTGGTTGTTGATCTGTGATTGTACAACCATTCTGTATACAGTACAACACTGAACAGTTAGGCTTTTATTGCATAGGCATATATCTACTAATATAAAATGAATTACAGTACCCCCTTCGCCCTCTCTCGCTCTCTCACCTTCCGCCCCCGGAAAAAAAATTTCAGGAAGCCATTTGGAAATGAGGAATAAACTGCTAGCGTGGTGTGGAAGCTTTGCATTCCTTCGAGCCGCCCGACATCGATCCTGCATCGCGAGCATGGTGCTTCGGCGCTGCAGTTCATCGCCTAGTAATTTTTAGCAGCATATGAGGGAAAATTTAAAAAATGTAGATCCGATTTCTAAACTTTGATGCATCATAATGCTGTTGCTGCTGCTGTTTCATCGGCTGCTTGAAGGTAGCTAAGCGTCTGCGCCACCGGATGCTTCTGTCTTGTCCATACCACCACTGTCTTGCGATGAACGGCAAAAGTGCTGCGATAACATAGCAGACTGCAAGAAGGCTTTTTTTAGAGGAGTTCGATCCAACACAAAACAATTAGCGATTATTTTAAAATTCACGAAAGAAAAAAGCCACGCGATTGTGATGCGCTTTGGAGGATACCTACAGCAAATTTCGTGAAGAATCGAGAAACCGACTTCGTCTGAACAATCCCGGAAACACATTGTCAAATATTTTTCCTATCAACTGACATAACGAAAAAAAAAAGCATGATGAGTGGAAATATTACAAAACAAAGCAGTAAATGAACTGAGAAAGCAAAAGACTTCACGTACGTCCACAAAAAAGACAGCAGCATGCAAAAGAGAGCCAGCACAGATTTGCATAATTTACAATCACTACCGTGAACATCGGTAGACGTATATAACTGTATCTTTTACATAGCATTCGTTGAATTAAAACTCCACAGTCTCAAGTTTTTTTTAGAAAAACTTGCCCACACCAGAAGTTGTCAAATCAACACGAATTTGAAGCCAACATTATGCCCTGTGAAATAAAATTAAAAACTACGGGCTTGTAAAATACGTTCACTTTTGGACTATTAAATTAATCAAATTTTGGGTTTTGACCAAACTCATGATGCAGGTGGTTAGAAGATTGAATTTAGGTTTTTGGATTGTATATCGGGCGCGGATTTTTTTTTCTCAGTCTTTCTGCTTCCTAGCTTCCACAATTCCAAGGTTAGCTTCTACGGTTTCAAGCGACATGCATATGCATGCACAGTATGCATAGATGCAAAATACGTACTTGCATGCATGCCAATACCCATCAGCTTCACCGTATGTGCTACGAATTTGTGGGAAGCGAGCAATTACCTCCTTATTGTCCTGCTTTCAGCTTCCACCTTGTTTGTTCAGGCTTCTGATTACAGAAGACCTACGTTTAGGGTGAGAAAGAAAACGCGGGCCATCAAAACTGAGGCTGCTCGATCAGAATGATTCCCACCGGCAAGCACATCCCGCCTGATTTCAGTGCTGCAAGCTACCATCTACGAAGCTCGTTTTTTTGCTGCGCAGCGCGATTTAACCCCTTGCAATTGCTCCTGGCGTATTTCTGTGACTCAAGCTGGCACCCTACACCCTCGGTCATCACAAATTTTTTGCTCCTTTCCCAGAGGCAACGAATTTTCGGGCAACGCGCTTGTTGTTCTGTGGTGATGTACTCCCGGTTCAGCGAACTGAACAAGCCATGAGGAAAACAATTGTGCAAGATTGATCAGGTGCGCTGAAGCCGGCGATGCTCATAAGATGGTGCTATGCCTGCAGGCGCCAGCTAGCAAGCCCACGTCCTGGAAGAGCAGCAGTCCTCGGATATATCACATCTGTGTTGCATTCCGCCATCAGCTGCTGCCGCTCGGCCGGTTAGACATCGTTGCACTGCAAAACAGCTCCAGGATTTTGTAAGCTGAGAAACAGCGGAAATCGGCAGGAAGTGCTGAGGAACGATGTGGAAGCAGTGAAATACTATTTCGACAAATGAAAGACGAAACCGAGAGACTGGTACCTGGACAGAGACCGGCAGCTGGCAGGGGGATGCGGCTTCTGGAGCCAGCTGCTACAGAGGACTGAACGTGAGGTGCTTCAGCCAGTGTACATCTGTCTCTCGACACTGACTTGACCGACTTCTGGAAAACACAGTGCCCCTCCGGCGACATCGTTCTTGCAGCATCTCGGAGGTGTTTTGAGGAGCAGTTCGGGATTTTGAGATTTCATCGGCTTTCGAGGAAATTGTGCGGGACTGAGGGGTACTGTGCAGCAGAGTTATTACAATAACTCTCAGGTGAGTAACTGCTCGAAGTCATTTTCGTTAATCGAAAAGCGTTCACACGTTTCCTCTGATTGGAGGTAACCAAAAATGCAGCCTCAGGAATTTGCACATAAGTAGCCATGCTGTATGATTAAGACATTTGGACAAAATTTTTTGATCGCAGGACTGTTGCGCAGGAGGCTGGGATATACGTGCACCAGTCCAGAAGTGGCCAAGTTTAGCCAGAAGTGAGCAAAAATTAAGTTTGAGTGTTTGAAAAATGTTTGGGGTCGTTTTCAGTGTAAACTGCGTGCGTGTGTGCATGCATGGACGACAGCTGTTAGCTGCCGAGTTGAAGCACTTGCTTATCCAGACAGAAGAAGCCCTAAACAAGCTGGCACACCATTTTACAGTTTCCCGCTACTTTGTCCAGCTATTTTTTTGAGCAAACTTATGTTTTCAGTGCCTGTAAGCTCAATTTGCTGCTTTCCCTTCCAAAAACACTCATTTCTGTTTTTTTTTTCTCTACCTCATGTCTACATCCTGCATTATCTTACTTCAAAAAAAAAAATTTTCTTGCTACTCCCTTGCACGTTCCTGTTTGATAAATTCCTTAGGCTGTTGCAGTGTCGCTAAGATAGCTGGAGCGAGTAACTGAATTTCAGTAATTTATACGTTCGAACGGAGTAGTGGAAATTTTTTTTGCAAAATGCGTGCAAGGGGAGAGAATCCTGAATTTAGAGGAATGCTCTTCATTTCGTGTATGAGACAGTGTTGAAGAAGCTG